ACATAGGCAGAGGGAGAAGCAGGCTTCCTGCAGGAAGCCCGAGGTGGCACTCGATCCTGGGTCTCCAGGATCACACCCTGGGCTGAAGGCGGTGCTAAACTGCCGAGCCAGGCTGCCCCGACTTTTTTGACTTCTCATAAGGTAACCGCTAATAGCCTACTATAGACCAGAAGCCTTTTGAACACCACAAACAGTTGATTACTCATATTTTATTCGTACTACATACTGTATTCTTAAAATAAAGCTGTGAGAAGATAAAATATTACTATGGGGGGGGGTGCCAGGGTGGCTCAGTGGGTTGAGCAAATGACTATTTTAGCTCAGATCATGACCTCAGGGTCATGGGATCGAGCCCTACATCAGGCTCTGTGCTCAGCATGGAGTCTGCTTGTCCCTCTCCCTCTGCTCTTCCCCCTGCCCCTACTTGTGCTCTCTCTTAACTATTTTTAAAAAATGATATTAAGGAAGTCATAAAAAAACACGTTTATAGGGCAGCCTGGGTGGCTCAGTGGTTCAGCGCCGACTTCAGCTCAGGGCGTGGCGTGATCCTGGGGTCCCGGGATCAAGTCCCACTTCAGGCTCCCCGCATGGACCCTCCCCACATGGACCCTGCTTCTCCCTCTGCCTCTCTCTCTCTGTGTCTCTCATGAGTAAATAAATACAATCTTAAAAAAAAAAAATGTTTACAGTACCGTATCCATATTGTAAGGTTTTTTTTTTTTTTTTAAAGATTGTATTTATTCATGAGACACAGAAAGAGAGAGGTAGAGACATAGGCAGAGGGAGAAGTAGGCTCCCTCTGGGGAGCCGGATGCAGGACTCAATCCCAGGACCCTGGGATCACAACCTGAGCCAAAGGCAGACCCTCAACCACTGAGCCACCCAGACGTCCTCGATACTCTAAGTTTATGTCATCTGTTTACAAGATGAATCATCTGTCAGTACCTATGTCTATACTGTCTGAAAGAATATAGACACTTGGTAGATGTTATATACCGTGGATGTGCATTACTAATCCTGGATGTCAAAAATGAAAACATAGCATGTGGTCTCTGATTTTTTTTGTGCTTAAGTCTGAACTTTAAAAAATAAATTTATGTGATATTTTAGGTAGCAAATGAAAAACTGGTATCTACATGTATTTTATGCATTTGTGAAATAATCTTTTTCTTACTTTTGTCAATGTTTCTAGGCTATGCAGTGAATCTGCAAGTTTTCTCAAATTATCACACATCTCCAAAATATTTTCCAATATATTTATTGAAAAAAATCCACATAAAGTGGACCCACGCAGTTCAAACCTGTGTTGTTCGAGAGTCAACTGTATACTGTTTTTCTGGCGGAAGGGCTTGTAGCTTTCCATGAACCAAAAAGGATTAGCAACTCTTGTTTTGGATAAGTAAGTTTCTTGCTTTTGCTTTAAAGAAGGAATCTTGTGGCTTAGGAGTCCCTCACAATTTTCTTCTAGTTCTTTCTTGGGGGCAGGGGGTGTCTAATTTCTGGTTTGCATTAGACAGGCTGTGTGCCTAAGTTCCTTTTTCTCACCTTAATGGTCCTCTCATTAAAACCAAAAACCATTCTGCTCTAACCATGAGGCGGATGGCATTTTAATTTTGTATTTCAGTTTTAGTTTCTGAAGTAGAGAGAGAGAGAAAAAGGCAGGGGGCAGTGCCCACGTTGACACTGACAGGTACGGGGACAAGCAACAGAGACAGGGAGATATGCGGGCACAGATAAAAAGCCTAAGGACAGACAGACACAGGGAGGCCGGTAAGAGTGCAAGGAGAGACCAGGGAGGACAAGCAGGCCTCGGGAGAGAGAGAGAAGGCAGGTCAGTCGGGAGGGGAAAGAACAAGGAGAGAGAGAAGACAAAGTGTCTAATGCCGCACGGGGCTCGGTGACTGATAAAGTGCCATCACATACATTACCACAGGCAGACAGGGAGAATCCGGCAGATAGATGGGGTGATGGAGGGATGTAGGCCAATCAGACAGAAGAGGGGGAAGGTGGCCAATCAGAGGGACGCTGGAATGCAGCCCCAGACAGACAGTTGAGGGAAGGACAGAACCAAGAAAAGAGAAGTGAGAGAGAGCGGGCGGGAAAGAGGACAGAGGCCCAGAAGCCTGGAGGCCCCGAGGCAGAGGCTGACACCATGCGATTCAGGAACACGGGCAAAGGGCAGTGCGCTCTGTGCCAAACTTTCCTTGTCGTCCTTCTGGAGAGACCTGGACAGAGGGCATGTCTTTGTTTCCCCCCCAGGACTGAGCGTCACCATCCCCGAGGTGGCAGGGCAGAGGAACCCACAGGAAGGAGGAGAGGGGGAGAAAAGTGAGAGGAGGAAACAGTTGTTCAGACCAGGAGGAAGACGCACTCCAGGGATCTAGAGTCCTAGGCCTGTCGAGACTGCACCCGGATGGGTGTGCACGCAGATGTGCTGGGAAGGCCGCACGGGCCTGCATGGACTCTGTACACACGGGCTACCTGTACCTTAGTAACCGTGCCCGTTTATATGTGGTCCTTTTCAGTTCTCCCTGGGCCTTCACATCTGTGTCGGTTAATACGCAGCTCGCTGGAGATGAGGGGACCAGCAGAGCTGTGCTGTCTCCAGGTAGCTCATTACTCAGAGGAGGACCCGGGAGGGAGCTGGCCTTCTCAGGCATCCTCAGGTACTGGCAGCAAAAGCACACAACTAGCAGCCCGTCAATCAAAGAGACAGGTGCCACCGAGTCGACTCAAAAAGACAAGGAGCAAGAAATGGCAAGTCCAGGGAAGTGGGAAAGCATATTGATAAGAGTGACAGAAAAGGAAGTGTCCAGCACAACAGGGAGAAAAGTAGGAAGGGGTGCGGCCAACAGCAAGTAGACTCAGATATGCCTGGCCTCTCCTCTGGAACATCCAAGAAGCATCAGGCAGTGACTGCCTCCGGGGGAGGAACAGGGGACCTAGGGGAGAGATGCAGGAGGGAGGCTTACTCCCCACAGGACACCGTTAGCACTTCACGTATCTTGTGCTGTGTATGTACTGCCTATCTGAACCCCGAGGGACAAGGAAAGAAGAAGAAAAAGATGAGAGAGCAGGTGGAGAAGTGACCAGCCAGAGCCAGCCAGGCAGACAGCGGCAAAAAGGCGGGAAAGAGCAGGCGCTGCAAAGAAGGTAGTAGGGAGGCCGGGGTGGGCTGCTTGTCTAAGGGAAGAGGGAAAAGACACGAAGATGGTGCAGCCAGAAGGCCCAGAGACTCAGGGGCACGGGGGCAGCCAGCCTTGGGGCAGAGAGGCCACCCGTATGGATGGGGGTGCAGCTTTGAGGAAGCCAAGGAACCAAAAGCTGCCAGGAAGTCAGACTGGAAGGATGCAAGGACTGGACGGTGGGGCAGGTGGCCGGGAGGCCGGACGTCCAGGGAGGTGAGTGTAACCCACCCACCCCACGGGCACACATGTGAGTGGTGGGCCATGCAGAAGGGCAAGAGAGGAGGCCCACCAAGATGGGGAAGCATGGCAGGCCCTGGAAGGTAGACAAACCAAGAGACGGGGGCTAAAAAAGTGACAGAGACAGGCAGGCGGGGAGACAGATGGCTGGAGAGAGAGTGGTGGGCAAACAGCCAGAGAAGCAGACAGACAACCGAGAAAGAGGCTGCCAGCCAGTCAGGGAGGAGCAGACAGGCAGTCAGGCAAACACCATAACAGGAGCAAGCAGGTAGGGAGGCAGGCAGGAACAAGGACCCGACAAGGGAAATGGAGAGGTCGGCGGAAAGGAAAGAGGCCAGGTGAGGGCAGGCCAGGAGGGCAGAGGGGGCCCTGGACCAGAGGGGGAAGGGAGCAAATGAGTAGATCCACATGCAAAGCACACTTGACAACATGACAAATGTTTGGACAGGCAGGCACACCTGCAGCTCCTGGCACACGTGGCGAGTGGGCCTGGGTGCTTGGTACCCAGGCAGGGGGTGCAGGGAGACAGGGCAGCTGCGGTGCACACCATGTGTAGGCTGGCCCATATCCACGTGGGGACACTTCTCCCAGACAGACAGATACACACACACACACACACACACACACACACACACACACAGAAGGGCCAGAGAGAGGAGGGAGCCGGTCACACACACACACACACACACACACTCACACACGAGGATGACACACATGGAGTCAGAGGCCGGAAAGAGAGAAGTAAACACAAACAAGACAGAGGTGGAAAGTCACTTGGAGGTGACAGAGCCTGAGTCCAGAGAATCGAAGGGATAGGAGCCCATGTGTGTGTGTGGGGGGCGTAAAGGGGGAATAAAATTACACGTACCGAGAAGCCCACGCACAGAAAGAGGAGGATACCCAGATGGCCTCGTACAAAGAGACTGGGCAAGGGAACAGACTGGAACAGAAGAGGGACAGGAGGTAGACTGAGCACACAGGAAGGACACAGGAGCCGAGACGGGAGACGTCCAAAGGCCAGGTTAAGAAAAAGATGGACATCCACGCTCAACGAAGTGCATCAGTGTGCATGTGTGTAGGGGGGTGGCGTGTCAATAAAGAACATTCCAGCCTCCTAAGCAAACATTGGCATGGTATCCCCTGTCATTAATGCTTTCTGGTTGCTTCCTACCTACCCCTCAGGCCTGAGATGCTCTGGAGGACTGCGGGGCTGCCAGGCGGGGCAGGGGGTTGGCAGCTACACTCCAGGGGGAGAGAAATAACCCAGGACAGAAAAGATGCCCTGGGGCAAGGACAGGCAAAGAGATGAAAAGAATGAAAGGAAGGTGGAGTTAGGAAAGGTGAGGACCAAAAAAAAAAAAGGTAGATCTGAGCTTTTCGCCTTCCCTCCTTTGCTAGCACTGCTCCAGAGGCAAGTTTTAGAGGACTTCACTGATGGAATCTCTGGACGGGAGAGCTACTTTTGGACTCCTCTCCAATCTTCCATCAGATTCCCGGCACCACTTCTAACATAAACACCGGGGTACAATGAGAAATCCCGGGCAAGCCCAGTGGAAATGCCAGGAGGACCCCTACCTCTGTCTTCTCCTCAGTCCCAGATACTTTTGTGTCTCACCGTGCCTCAGTTTCTTCCACTTTACCACTGTCGGAAGACCACGGAGACAGGGGAACATACTGCAATGGGAGAAAAAGAGGAGACAATTTCACAGTTTTTCAGACTTGACTCCCCTTTATTCTAAAAATCTGTACTCCTGGCCCCCTAAATTAATTTCCCAAGTCAGATGAATTTTCTAGTCGAGGCAATGGGGGAGGCGGGGTCGGGTAAGGGGGGAGCGAGTGAATCAGAAAAGAGTGCAGATAAAATTTACAATTATAAATCACTGAAAAGCCTGGGCAAAGGGGAGAATCAAACATGGACTCCTTTGAAGAAAAAAAAAAAACCTCAATCATCGTATCTATTCATATCTCTTCCCCCCAAAAGTCACTAGGATTTCTGTCACTTTTTTTAAAAGAAAGGGGGGAAAAAATCCAGCCCCGTGCCTCACTTGGACGGTACTACACAATTAAATGCGTTTTGACTCCAGCGAGGTATGTAGAAACAAGAGTTATATATAAACATATATTTCATCTTTTCCTTTTCAATGCCTGAAGGGGGAAAAAAAAAAACCTTCACATCAAACCACTCCCTTCTGAAGTATTCAGAGAAAAAAAAAAAAAAGCTTTTCTTTAAGAGAAGGGAGGTGGGGAGGAAGAGACTAGTAAAGAAAAGAAAAATATTTAAATCTAGTTGGACTAGTATCTAACTAGTTAACCTTTAACAATTTATGCTGATGTCAGACTGAGCATGAGTACTGATTAATGCCCCCCCTCAAATATTTTTATGGGGGGGAGTTAGAGCAGCCATTTTTGTTTTATGCAGAAACCCTTCGTGCCCCCCCAACGCGCACACTCACACACACACACACTCACACACACACAGTACACAAGGAAAATATCTCTATTAATCTGTGCACTAATCAGTTATGAAAAAAGGGAGAAATTTGTGGGTTTCTGGGTAGAGGCTTGGAGATGGGGGTGTAACAGGGAGGAGAATGGGGGGGTGAAAACTGAAATATTAAGCCAGCCATTTTGTTTTAAAAGGGGATTTTTCCCCCCTCTCCCTTTCTTCATGGAGGGGGTGGCGGTGCTTGGGGGGGGTTGTTTTAAAAATAATTTCAAGGCGGCCATCTTACTGCCTCAGCTCTGAGAAATATTTCTGAGCGCCCCCCTCAGAATTTAAATATATTTAAAGCAACGGAGAGGGGGGCAGAGAGAAGTCGAAAACTTTTATATATATATATATTTTTTAACCCCCCTTTCTCGTTCTCTTGGGAGGAAGGGGAGGGGGAGAAAGTCTCTCAATTTTTTCCAAGACAATTTTTGGGGGTGGTTCGGCCCCCCTTTTCAGCCGGCGGCCCCGAGGGGGGGTTCTGGAGGGGGGTGGCCCGGGGGTTTGGGGGGCTGGGGGAGGCGGTGGGGAGGAGGAGGAGGAGGAGGACGCCGCCGAGGAGGAGGAGGAGGAGGAGGAGGAGGAGGAGGAGGAGGTGGTGGTGGTAGCGGTGGGGGAGGCGGGCGGGCGGTGGGTGGGGGGGTGGTGGGGGGGCCAGAGCCACAGGATGGCTTCCCCTCTGAGGGACGAGGAGGAGGAGGAGGAGGAGATGGTGGTGTCGGAGGAGGAAGAAGAGGAGGAAGAAGAGGGCGACGAGGAGGAGGAGGAGGTGGAGGCGGCCGACGAGGACTACGAGGAGGACGACGACGAGGGAGTGCTCGGGCGCGGGCCGGGCCACGACCGGGGCCGCGACCGCCACAGCCCCCCCGGCTGCCACCTCTTCCCGCCGCCGCCGCCGCCGCCGCTGCCCCCGCCGCCGCCGCCGCCCCCGCCGCCAGGTAAGCGGCCGCCCCGAAGCTCTCCCCCCCGCCCCCCACCCCCCGGCCCGAGCGGGAGCCGCGGGCGCGCGAGGCCGGCCGGGGGCGAGGCACCCACCGCGCGGCCGAGCCGAGGTGAATCCGGGGGCGCGGGGCGCCAGCGTCGGGCCCGGGGCCCCGGGCGGGCCGGGCCGGCGGGCGGCGGGCGGCGGCGGCGGCCGCGGGGCCAGGCCTCTTCCCCTCCCCCGCCGCACCCCTCCCCCGCCGCCGCCGCCGCAGCCGCCGCCACCGCCGCCGCCGTCGCCGCCGCCCGGGCTGGAGAGCGCTGGGCGCGAGCTGCGCGCGCGGACCGGGCCACTCGGTCGCGGCTTTCGGGGGAGGAGGAGGAGGAGGTTTTTTTTTTTTACCCTCGGCTGGGAGGGGGTAGGCAGGAAACGGCCGCGGCGAAGCCAGGGCCCCCTCCCTGGCCGAGCGAGGGACCGCGGAGACCCTGGCGGCCGGACGGCGGCGTGGAGGAGGGGCGCGTGGGGGAGGGGCGGCCGCGCGGGCGCCCCTCGGGCTCCCGCCCGAGTGGGGTTGCACTGAGGTGACGGGGAGTTTCCGCGCGTGGAGCGGACCGCCGGCCTCACCGCCCCCCCTCAGGGGCGGGGGAGGCGGGGGTGGGGGTGGGAGCCAGCGTCCCTCGGACCCCCCACCTGCGGGAACCTGGGCGCCCGCCGACTCCCCGGGGCGCGCGGTGGCGCGTGGGGGAGAGGTCGCGTGAGCGCCTGCGGGCGGCGGTGATGGGGGGCAGGTGGTGGCCGCACTCCACGCAGACCACTTCCTGGACTCACGCTTGATCCGCTTCGGGGCGCCCCCTCCCCCCGTCCTAATCGGGAGAGCACTCCTTGAAGATTGGGGAGCGCGGGGAGAGTGTCTGCGACCAGATGCCCCCAACTCCACCCCCTTTATCAGCACCCTGCTCCAGGCTCTTTTGTGTCATGTGCGAACCCCCCCCCCCCCCCGCCGTGTGACCCCGTCAGTCTGGGGTGGCCAAGCTGCCCAGCTGTGACTCTCACGTGGCTGCCATTCACTGTCACTCTCGCTGAAACCACCCGCACCTTGATCTTGCCGGGGAATGGGGGGGCGTGCACTGCCCACCCAGCTGTTATGCAGCTTGACCGTCACTCGGCACCCCTCCCCCGGGATGACAAGTTCTCTGGCGCTCTCTGGGCAGTTCCACCAGGGCTGGAAGGGACTGGGACAGCCTGCTGCCTGGAGTGGAGGGGGGGGGCGGCAGCAACGGCCCCCCTCAGACCACCCTCCTAGTGCAGTGACTGCCGATCTTCCTGAGGACAGGGGAGCATCCTTACGGTGCTCGCATCTTTGCTTGGGGCTGGAAAGGGGACATCCACACCCCCAGGCCTCTGGGAGCCCTGTAGCACGAATGCATCAAACTTCAGGACGTCTATCTTTGTAAAACTGTCACATTGATCTGTGTGGCTTATGTGGCAACTGTTCCTGTTCGGTTGAGACAGCCTTTGAGGGAGTATGGGGTACCTTCTTGGGGTGAGGGTGGTGGAGGGTACGTGTCTGATGGAAACGGGGACACCTCCCCTCCCCAAGCTTGTCTGAAAAAGAAAAGTTTTCAGAAAGTTATCCCAGAGAACCCACGAGGTTGCAGGAGGGAGGAGGAATAAAGGATGGTGGGGAGGGGGTGCCTGGAACCCAGCTGATGTGCTAAAAAGAGGGAGAGAAAGGATGTCAGGTTGTGTTGCCCCGCAGACAGCTCTCACCTATTTGTAGGGCCAACTTGGAATGTGGTGTTTATGCGTTTTTGGTCTGAAATTTGGGAATGTAAGAGAGGGGCATGAAAGAATCTGAGGTCGAGGTTGGGTCTTTTGTGTCAGTCCTCCCTCCCCACTTCCCCTCTGCTCTCTCAACAGCCCAGAAGAAACGTCAAATGTTTTTTTTTAAAATTTGTATCTGAAATGAAAACCCACCTCCTCCCTCTTCCAGGGCGATCATACCCCCCCCCCCCAGTCTTGAGGCCCTCCCAAGTCAACAGAGTGACCCAGATGCACTCCCCCCCCCCCCCGGACTTTCTGAGGCAAAACTTTTGAGAGAAATATTTTTGGTCCGCTCGTTATATTTCTGTCTACCTAGGTGTGGGCAAAATAAGCCTCCTAGAAGGAAATGTGTGCGGGCTGCCCTCCCTCATCCTTCTCCAGAATATGAATTCGCACATATTAGAGGTCTATTGTTTTTCATCCTGACTGCTTTGATTCTCACCATTTTGTTTTACATTCTTACCCAAGACCAATTTTATCCCTCCCCCCCTTCTCGGCTCCTTACGTTGTAAAACGTTTAAAATAATAGCACTCGTGTTGGTGGGGGAAGGGAGCAGGAAGCCAAAAACTCATTTCTTCTCCCTCCCCCTTCTGGCAAGTCTCGAAAAATAATATAACATAATATATAGATGTGATTCCTTGGGGGTGGGGGTGGGGAATGATTGTGGGTGGTGCGGAAAATTCTGGTAGTTTCTTTGCAAAAGGTCTGAAAATACAAACCCACCCCCTGCCTGCAGTACGCATGTGCAGCAGACCTATTATGGTGGTGCGTGGTGGGGGAGGGAGGGGAATTTGAGAAAAAATAAATATATGTGTGAGAGATTGATGGTGAGATTAGAGGGAGAGCAGGACGGGCGGGAGGCGCGGCCTGGGCCCGGCTCCGCCCGCCTCTCCCCTGCCCGCCGCCCCGGCGCGCCAGGCCCCGCCCCCGCCGCGCACCGCCCCCCCCCCGCCCCCGCCCGCCTCCCGGGATCCGAGCCGGGGTGTGGGAGAGTCTGGGCTCCGGGCCAGCATTGAGTGGCTGCTGAGACCGAGGTTGGGACTTGGATTTGCTTTATTGCCCTGCCTTTCCCTTCGCCGCCGCCGCCGGCCTCCCGACTTCGGGAGCCTCCTGCGGGGCGGGGAGTGGAGAGCGGGGCGGACCGGCGGCGAGGTCCCGGGGTTAGGTGCCCCACCCCCAGAGGGGCGGGTGGCCGCGCCGGCCTGTTCCCTGACGCGGAGCCAGTGGGCCTGCCCCTGCCGCCGCCCCAGCGGCCTCCCGTTCCCGTGTTCACATTAAGCGACGTCCCGGGGGTTGGGGAGAGCTGGCTGCTGGCCGGGGACGGAGGAGTGTGCGGGGTGGGGGGGGAGCATGGCGTCCTTCTGACTTCCTACTCCAGCCCGCACGCTCTTTTTTACGCCCCGGGGCCTGCTGCACGCCCCCCCCCCCCAGCAC